GGTAGGAGCAGCAGCGCCTACGCTGGGGAGCTGGTTTTGCAGGGAGGAAGCCAGACTTGAACCCCGGGGTGGTTAAATATATGCAGCTAAATAAACTGGCAGGGGAGAAGGCAGGGTGAGGAGACTTTGGTTTCTGCTAGGGGAACCCCACTTGCAAACCCCTGGGGAGGGATAGGCTCCTTCCCCTGCAGTGCCAAGCAGATAAACAAGATAGAAGTGGTGTTAGCATTTCCATTTTACAGGCTGCAGGAGCTTGCTCACCTGCTCTTAACCTGTGGCAAAACTCAGTTCTTGAACAGCCTTCCTGATCTTTCTACTGGCATCTTTATCACAGGACTCGTCTCCTGCCTTTTGGCCAGAGAGCTCTTTACAAGGCATGGGCCGGGAGAGTTCTGCTTCCCTTGGCCAATAAACAGACCAACCAGCGTATGTGTCTTAGCAAATTCCTGTTTTACAGAGGGCACCTTCTGGCCATGTGATACAGATGGCACAAGGACTTAGTTTTGAATTGTTTATAGCTTCTGGAAGCTCAGGTAATGCTGTTTATCTTGGAGGTCTTGCTTATGTCTCTTAACAGAAACATTCCATAATGTTCTCCCTGCAAATGGGAACCCCTTGGGTTTTAAACTTTTATCCCTGTGATTTCTAATGCAGCTAACCCAGGAAGACAAACTTGAGTTTGCAAACTTGAGGGCTCCATTCTGCAATACTTTGGTCTCTGAATTCAGCAATGAGATGCAATTTTGTCGGGTTTTTTGCTTGGTTTTGCATATGGTTTTGGTTTCTTTCCACCCATTTCCTTTCCAAACTCAAAACAGACAGCAAAGGGGGGAAACACAAGCCATAAAAGAAGAAACAAACTGCTAAGACTTGAAACCTCACTGGCAGCCTCACTAGAAAGACTCATGTGAGTGCTGACTATCATTTTAACCTTAATCTCCATTTTCTGTTTCTCATCTCAGCAGTAGCTGCATCCAGCGACCAGAGCCAGATTCCTATAATTGTTGTGTCTGTAACAGTGGGAGTCATTCTGCTGGCTGTTGTTATCGGTTTCCTTCTCAGTGGAAGGTAAGAGAAGAAGCTGTGTATTTATACTTCTCCAACTTTTGTAATAACTTTTATCTGACCAGCTGATTAGCGTGATTTAGGCAAAAGCAGCATGTGAACAAAGCTGTCAAAGCAGTAGCGCTGTAAAACAGCACGAGGGTGGGCTGATTGATCTGTTTGGACAGGCAGGAATGGCAAAGGCTCGCTCACAGATGTAGTGCACTTCCCAATGATTTTCATCTCTGTATAGACTGACCCTGATTATTCAACTTGATTCTCACAGGAGTGTTTTCATATTCCTTTAAAAATAAGCAGAACATGTTATTACAGGTAAAATATCCTGGAGCCCATATGTTTGCACTCAGAGCTCATAATGGATTTTGCTCACAGAGAAAACGTGACTTCAGGAAAACACTTGCAAAGAAAAAGAGAAGAAACCCAGCCAAACGGCCAAGCGCCCCAAGTTTTGGTCAGGTCTGGATTTCGTTTTTCATGTGTGGGACACTAATGTGTTCCCCACGTGGTAGTAAATTACACAGAGAGCTCCCCCCACGGAGGGAGAGCTCAGCTTCAAACCGTCAAGCGATCCCCTTGACTTCTCATGTGCTTAAACATAGGCAAGTGATGAAAGCCTGGGCTATACCATCTTTGACAACTCTAATGGAAGCTGATGGAACTTGTTGGTGAACAAGGGATTGTGGTATTGGGGGAAAAACTGGCTTGTATCAGAATCAGTTTGTACTGCGGCACTAAATCTGTGTAGCAGCCAGCACACAAGGCACTTTTTTCATATACTGCATGTGTATTAGTACATTTTTTTAATGGCTGTAGTCAAATGATGCAACATCCTTAATGCAAAGCAATGTGAGGTGCATCTCATTTATAAGGCTGAATTTTTTTTCAGTGCAAAGTAAACATTTATGCTTCTAAGGTACCCATCAGCCCACTGTTGCTTTCATGATACAAGTCTGTCTTCAGCTCAAGTCTAGCAAGGTAGCTGTAAATTACAGGATATTGTAAGTGTTAAGAGTAGTTACAAGATACTCACAGAGGAACTGTGCTGATAGTGAACATATTGGCTGAGGGTCTTATTTCCCAGAGGAGGTAGGGTATCAGTCTTCAAATGCGGGACGGTGAAATCCAGCCAGGCTGAGCAGCTCTGTCCCCAGGCATAAAGCATCCATGGAAGGACACAGTTATTTCCTGTCTTAAAAGGTAAGTGTGCTGCCAGACTCATCTCCAGTCAAGGTCAGAGACTGACAGCCTCTTCCAGCTCAGCCATTTGAGCTCCTGTTGTCTGTTTTGAGTGACTTGTTGGGCTTAAAAATGGGAAAGCAGATGCTTCTGCCTGCACAAGAAGCATGCAGCGGCGTGGTGGGGGGGTGAATGGCTACAGGCCATTCACACCACAGGCTACAGGAAAGCTGTAGCCAAAAAGACTTGGCTCTGAACACTATAGGCAGGAGTTCAAGTCTCTCCTTAGAGGCTGGACGTTTTGAGTCAAATCCATCCTTGAATAGAGCAGGGAGGGGTGTGGGCCTTGGCCTCCCACAGCTTGAATGTGTGCTTGTATCAGTGCAACCAGGAGGATGGACACGTGGCTGTAGGGAAGCCACAGATGTAAGTCTGGTACCTATGCAAGGAAGAGTCTAGGGGGCTGAATCGCAGGTGGAGGGACATGTATCCCTGTGTGGCCAAGAGGAATCACAACTGTGTGGCAACCAGAAGCTCTTGCTTTTCCCACAGTCGCTGGCAAGCACTCAGGACCCGTTTGGGGAGGATTTGCCCTTGCAGGTCTCCTTTTTGCTTCTACCCTCTCTGGTCCAAGCAAGCAGTTACAAAGCCCGAGCCATTTGTCAGTAATTCTCGTTAGTTACATCTTTCTGTCCTTTGCCCTAATGGGCTTTCCAGGATGTGCTTCCTCTTGGCTTTTTATCTCTTGGTATGTTTATAAAAGCCCTTGTCTCTTTTGGCTAGAGTCTTATCCCTGCCTCTGCTGCTGCCTTAATCCTCCTACCTTGTACTCATACCTCTCTCCGTGGACCTCAGGGCAGCTGCAGGTTACCAGGAACTTCTCCATAGTGCCACGCTGGATGTATGGGAAGGGGCAGGCACAGGGAGCTGAGCTCTTGGTCCATTTTTATCTTTTCAACCCTTCCCCTAAACTGGGAAGAACCCAATCCCTCAGCTGGAGGTGGTGAAGAAGCCTCCGGTGCCAAGGTTTAGTCCATCGTTAGAGAATTGGCTTCAAAACCACATTGCTTCTCAGCCACTTTGAGTTCCCATAAATTTTAAAGCCCGTCTAGTGTGTTGAGTGACTCATGAGAACAGAAAAATAAACCCCAGAAGCCCAGAAAGCTGACAGCCAATTTGAAGTTAAACAAAGCAAAACAAAAAAATTGCTCCTGTTTGGAAGAAGCAGAGATGCCTCTGAAATGTGTCACTCCTGTTGCTTTGCCTTCGATATGATTTTGAGACAATTCATGGAGTGAGTCTCCCGCTGTGCCACTGCAGGGATGATAAACACATTCCAAGCCATGGGATAATCCCTTTCTGAAGCTGTTAACCTGTTTCTGGAAGACACTTTCCTGTATCTTTGGAATGGTTATGTTCCAGCACCTGGTTCCAGGGGGTTAAATCTCCTTTCCTAATTCTTTCCCATACTTGTTTTTAGAAAAACAGATATTTTGAACTCCAGGAGTTGCTCCAGCTGTAATCACCACTGCTTTCCACACCAAGCAAGCTGTGCAAAGCCCAGGCTCTGTCTTTTCTGCTAATGTAGGAGAGCAGTTACAGCCCAGCAGCAAAGCTAAGGAGAAAAACCCTCTTGCTCTGCAGCACTGAGGATGTAGCCTGGCCAGCTCCTGCAAACAGGCTTCTTGTTGCTGGCTCCATGCTGCTCCCAGGTTCCCTGGGAGGCCCTGGGCACTTCAGAGTTACAATATTCCTCCCTAGGATGCTGTATGACATCTTTTTGTGCTTATCCTCTCAAGTGCCAGGCTGAAGCAAGCAGGGGCTTGAGAGCAGTCCTGCAGTGAGAAAAGGATGTCCTCCTGCTATCAGCAGCTCAGAAAGTATTTTCCCAGCCATAGGACTCAGGATTTTGCTGGGCTCTGCAGGCTTTTTATTTTCCACTAGGTCCCTGGAGGCAGAAGTTTCCACACCTCTTCCCCTTTGTTTGTTTTCAAGTATCTCTGCAATTTTCTCCCTTCTTTTGAACGAATGCAAGTAACAGCTTGGCATTTCCCATTGGCAGCTGGCCCTAAACCAAAGGTCAGCTGAACGGTTGTCACGGTGGCATTTCCACATGCCAGTGTCCATCTGTGGAAACGCGCTTTGTGTCTGAAGCTGGAGGTTCCTGGGAATTTGAAACTAAATGTGCTTTGCCCTAAACAATTAAGCTGCATTTCAGAGCTTTTTACTTGCAGATGCTCCAGAAAACTCTTCCTGTAAATAATGCATCCTCTGACCAAGGTCATAAATGCCAAGCAAAATAGCTGATCACTTTTTTAAGTTATCCTGCGTTTTGCATCAAGGTCATATTAATAATATAACGATCAGGATTACAAATCAAAGAGATTCACTAAATCAGACTGTAGTTGTCTCAGCAAAAAAAGAGAAGTGGATTGAAAATCTATTATTAAACCAGCTACAAGCATTAAATTAAAGAACATGGAGTTGTTATTATCTTTGTTTTGTTAGGATTATGTGTTCTTGTCGAAAGCGCAATGCATTTTCAGATAGAGCAAGGCTATAAATTTTGCTTTCCTAGCAACACTTGAATTAGATGCTACTTGGCATCGTTGTTCCTGATTGAAGTATATATTAATCTAAAATCATTACAGACTTTTGTTTTACAGTCTGCGTCGGACAATGCCAGTCACAAGGATCTTTGCACTGGCTTGCAAGGAGCAATACACTGCCACAGTCATTGTTGTGGCATCAGCCCCTTTCTTCCTACAAACTGAGGTAGGAAGCCAGGTTTGCATCAGCCTGGGAAGGAGACCCACTGCTCCAGAGCAGTTCCCCCTCTTTTGTACTTCAAACCAAGCCGTGTTTGCAAAACTGACGGGGTCTTAGGGTGAGTGTTAAGAGACTACTAGTCCCTCCGGTCCCCCAAGCATTTGAGCTTTGTAGCACTAAACAAAAGCATGGGCTTTTATAGAGTAAAATGGGGATGCTATTAGGTCAATGCTGTGCATGTTTACAAAAGCTGCTCAAAGTAACTAAGAAGTGTGCTGTGCATCTGCATTTATAGCCAACTACCCATTATGGATGACCTTTCCATTTCAAGTGATCTTCCAAAGAACCGGAGGGAGCTTTTTATAGAACTTAAGAAAAAAATAGATTTGAAGCAACAAAAAAACTGCCCCTCACCCTGTGTCATGCGTATATATAAAAATCTCTGTCTGGCAGGGAACTAGCCTTCGAAAGACAAAGCAAAGACAAATCTTGCCGCCTGGGTATTGGCAATTAGAGGCTTCTGCACCAGAGTATCCATCCTTGACCTTAGCTGATTTAGACTTTTAAATATCAGCCCCTGCAGTGGCAGTGGGCTACTTTCTGGACACAAATATGTGCATCTTGTTAAAAAGTGACTTTCAGGGAGTAGAGAGGGTGAAAGGAATGTGGTGTATATCCTAGGTCCTGAGCCAGCGTTTGCAACCTTCCATGATGTGGAAGGTCAAAATCGATTAATTTTTCCACAACCTCCCCCCCACTCCATGCTATTTTCCAAGATGTGTCAGGGCTTAGAATAGGTTGCTTTTTCGGTATTTCCGTAGGAAATGGGAGACGGTTTGTAGATAACACTTTTCATAGAGAGAATTTTTCCAGCATGAGTCACAATTTTGGTTAGTTGTTACTTTTTAAGGGATTTTTATCTGTACATTCTTGCGTGCTCTTCCTTCTTCCTACAGGACATTCTCTTTTGTAATTTATAGCCACTTTATGATGTGCTTACTGCCAAATATTCCCTGCGATTCACCTGACAAGAGGAAGGATTTTGTTGGGGAAGCTAT